GGTAGCTCACTCTTGTAATCCCAGGTTTTTGGGAGGCCAAGGTGAGAGGATCACTTGAGTACAGGAGTTCGAGAGCAGCCTGGGCAACATTGCGAGACTGCATCTCCACAAAAACATCAAAAAATTAGTCGGGCATGGTGGCATGCATCTGTAGTCCTAGCTACTCTGGAGGCTGAGGTGGAAGGGTTGTCTGAGCCCAGTAGGTCAAGGCTGTGGTGAGCCATGATCGTGCCACTGCACTACCGCCTGGGCGTAGAGTGAGACCCTAACTCAAAAAAAAGCGGGGAGCAAGCCCTTCAGGTCCCCTTCCACTGCGGAAGCTTTTCTGTCCTCTCAATAAATCCTGCTTTGTCAAAAACAAAACAAAACAAAAAACCAAACAAATACAAAATCAGATGTGGTGGCTCATGCCTGTAATCAGGATTACAGGCATGAGCCACCACGCCCAGCCCAAATCTGTATTTTTAGCTTTCTCTTGAGAAACAGGAAATAGCACCAGTGGGCTCTGTTTCTGCCAGGCAAATATTGCCTCACAGCTAAGGGCTGGTTATGCATCATATTTTAGAATAACTTTCACCCGAGCACCTTTTAACTTTCAGGGAAGCCAGATGACTTTATCTTTTATTTTGAGTAGGAGTCTCACTCTACTACAGACAGAAGTGCAGTGGCATGCTCATGGCCACTACAGCCTCGAACTGCTAGGCTCAGGCAATCCTTCCGCCTCAGCCTTCCAAGTAGCTGGAACTACAGGCACATGCCAACATGCCTGACTAATTTATTTATTTATTGTAGAGATGAGGTCTTGCCAAGTTGCCCAGGCTGGTCTCAAACCCTTGGGTGCAGGAAATCCTTTTACCTCTGCCTCCCAAAGTGCTGGGATTACAGGTGTGAGCCACTAGGCCTGGCCAGCCAGATGACTTTAATATGAGCTAAAGAGAAGTCACAAAGTCTGTCCTTAATGCTGGTCCTCCCACCTCTAGCTGGCCTTGAGGAAGCTACTTAATCTTGATTTTCTAGGCTTCTATTCATCATCTGAAGGATGGGGTCAGAACTTGCCTCAAAAGACTTATGTATGTGTCACCTGTTTCCAAAGTGATTAAAAAAAAAAAAAAAGACTCATGTGAGTCCAAGAATGCAGGGGAGTAAAAAAAAATGAGTGAAGAACAGATGAGAACATATGCCTAAAAGCCTTTGCCCAGTGCCTGCCCACAATGTTCAGTGGCTGCTCCCAGCCACCGCAGCCTAAATCTGCTGGGCTCCAGTGATCCTTCCGCCTCAGCCTTCCGAGTAGCTGGAATTACAGGTGCACGCTACCACGCCCGGCTAATTTTTTGATTTATTGTAGAGATGAGGTCTCGCCTGCCCAGGCGGGTCTCGGACCCGCGGGCTCAGGCAATCCACTCACCTCAGCCTCCCAAAGGCGTGGGATTACAGGCTGAGCCACCGAGCCCGGCTGAAGCTAGAAGTTTTAAGTGAATAACATGATTCTGGAGAGCAAACTGCAGAAGAGAGCACTTACTTTTTAATATACCCTGTTGTATCCATTTGAATATCTTTTTATCATGTCCAAGTTTTTTTGTTTTTTTTTTGTTTTTTTTTTTGAGTTGGAGCCTCACTCTGTCACCCAGGCTGGAGGGCAGTGGCACGTTCCCGGCCACTGAAGCCTTGACCTACTGGGCTCTGGCAATCCTTCCTCCTCAGCCTTCCAAGCAACTGGAACCACAGGTGTGCGCTACCAGACCTGGCTAATTTTTTATTTTATTGTAGAGATGAGGTCTCACCAAGTTGCCCAGGTAGGTCTCAAACCCTCAGGCTCAGGCAATCCATTTACCTCAGCCTCCCAAAGCATGGGATTACAGGCTGAGCCACCGAGCCTGGCTTGAGTATTACTTCTTTTCTTTTTTAGAAAGGGAGAGCTGGGCATGGTGACTCAGCCTGTAATTCCAGCAATTTGGGAGACCAAGGCAAGATGATTGCCTAAGCCTGGGGGTTTGAGACCAGCCTGGCCAACTTGGTGAGACCTCATATCTACAAAAAATCACAAAAACTAGCCGGGTGTGGTGGCATGCATATGTAGTCCAGCTACTTGGAAGGCTAAAGCGGAAGGATTGCCTGAGCCCAGCAGGTCGAGGTTGCAGTGGCCATGAGCGTGCTACTGCCCTGCAGCCTGAGTGACAAGAGTAAAAGTCCAACTAAAAAAAGGGGAAAGAAATGGAGTCTGGCTCTGTTCCCCTGGTTGGAGTACAATGTCTTGACCATAGTTCACTCGCAGCCTCCAACTCCTAGGCTCAAGTGTCCTCTACCTTCAGCCTCCCCAGTAGCTGGAATTACAGGTGTGTGCCACCACATCTGGCTTGATTTCAGTTTTAAGTATAAGCCGGGCTCAGTGGCTCAGCCTGTAATCCTGCACCTTGGGAGGCTGAGGTGAGTGG